AGAAATGAAAAATAGAAAATTAACAAACAAAACACCGTCCATGAACATAAATTAAAATAAAGAATCAATATATAAAAAGTAGAAATTCACACACATTTATTGTTAGAGTTTGAAAGAGGGAGAAATAACCTAGAAGTTAATTGAAAGTATCACGTATTAAAGGATTAAGGATTGGATTTAAATTTTAAATTTGAGATGGGTAATTATCTAATTGGGCATTTAGTTAATTTGGGTATTGAGTTTAATTGGATTGGGTCTAGTATGAAGGTATCTTTTAATTGGAATGCATTTGGTTTTAATTAGGTTGAATAAAATTTAAATTTAAATTTGATATTTTTTTTTTTTTTAAGCAGTTTGTCTGTTTGAAACGGTTTACAAAAATTAAAACTTAAACTAAACCACTTCAAAGTGGTTTGGTCGATTCAAAACCAAAACGTTGACAGATCCACGTGGATCCAAACCAACAGTTTCAAAAAAAGGGTTTCGGTTCGGTTTGACGGTTTGGCGGTTTCGTTTAGGTTGAATGTAATTAAATAAAAATAGGAAGAAAATATATTAATAGTAACATTCACTACAATAGAGATTTGTGTAAAAAATAGAAAATGATTCCTAAACACTCTTAAAGAATTTACTAATTTCTTATTTACTTTGAAATACTTTTTAGTCTTTTCTTAAAAAATTATTTTACAATAAATTTTGAAAATGGATTACATATCGTAAAATTATGTTTCGGAATGTGTTACATTGTAAAATTCTATTACATACATTTTATGACCCCCATCTGCATTCATCGTTATCGTCATCGCCGTCACTTGTAACAAGTGTGTTGCACGCATTTTTGCACTTATTTCCATAGTCACCACAGTCGCTACTACTGCAACCACTTATAGAATTTAATGTAAATTCGTCGTCGCCGATCCCACATTACATGACTCCAAGATAAAACTCATATGGCTCATAGTCGGTTCTCTTTCTAAGGGTACGACCATAGAAAGATAAAGAAGTCTTTATCAAGTTGTCAAAACTATAGAAATATAATATAAAATATAAATGGAGTATTTTTGTATTCAAGTATTTCAAGTTGTGTTTAAATGTTATGTCCAAACCATAAAATATCCTCCCTTTTATAGTACACAACTTAAACCCTCCACACTAATGA